AAAGTTTCTTCTGAGTCCAATACCATCGATAGTAACTTACTTATCGGCCTTAATAGATGACAGGAATGTTACAAGTATGAGATCATTGTGGCAGAGTAACTTCCAGAAATTCTATGGCTTCTTTGTTCTTTGTAGAGATGATTTTTTTTCAACATGGAATAGAGATGTTAACACAGATTTCAGCTGTGAGAAGTGTCTGTTTTTCTTTTTTTGCAAAGACTAAATTCATCCTGGCCTTGCAAAAATTTTTAATTGCTGAGCAGTTGCTGTGTATTCATTAAACTGCCTTTTGCAAATAAGGGTTGTCTGAGAATCCTTGCAGTATTTGGACTATTAGTTTAAGCATGAACTTCTATGATGGAAGGCGCAGCGAGGCTAAATACAGGTGAATTTCTCTATTTATGTGGTTCATTGATAAACCCATTGCAAGAGAAGTTTAGATTTGGTGTTGTGGAATGCACAGCCCCCGTTTTATCCTGCAGATAACCATGGTAAGTATCAACTTAATTTCTGCTTCGGTAAGGAATTTGCTTAAATATCTCCTAGGTAGTGTTTCCATTATAACTTCTGACTCTCTGAGCAATATGACCTCTAAAGCAGAGGCCTTCACAAGTGATGAAGTGTCATTCTTTTAGCCTGGGGAATCTGTCCTCGCAGAGATAGTAATTTACTTTGCACTAGGGTTGCAGGGAGTATGCATCTCGTGTGCCTTTAGATTCATAACAGAGTGCTTTCTCTAGGGTGTTGGATTCTTTTTTCTTTTTCCAGGGAGATGCTAGCAGCATTTTTTAAAAGAATTTTGCTTGCCTTGCCACGTGGTAAAATGTCAGAAAAGAGGAATATTTTCCCTCAGCATAAATCTAGAAACGCCGTGTTTTGAAGCTTGTTTAGAAGTGGGCAAAAGTTTGCTGTTCATATTGGAAGGTATGTGCTAAGTATTGAAAGAATGGTAAAAATACTACAGTCAATGAGCCATTACTTGTTGTATTGGTTAGCTCTTGATACTGAACCCTTCTGCTGCAGAAACTCTAAAGCCTGACTTGTCTGATAAGTCTAGAGTTGAGTTTCTTAGGGTTTATAAATGCAAAAACATATATCTGGCGTTCTTGGCCATGTAGAGTAGATAACAGCCGTGATGTTATGGGCAATGCCTTAGAGCAAAGGTTTGAGAGGAGCTCTGGGTGACTTCCTCGGCAAAGCTGCTGCTGATCTGGGAGTTCACTCTTGGTTATTAGCACCTGGGTAGGAGGGCTGCAACGCTGTGCCACGTGTTCTGCACTAAAGGTGTACAGTGAAATAAATATCGGTATGAAAGTGAGCAATGCCAATTCAAAGTGACTGCCTGTTATCTTGGACTTGTGTAAGGTTATGTCAAGTAAAAGCACATTCCTCTTCTCAAACTGCCAGCTATAAATGTTCAGCCCATCTTTGTTACCCAGGCAGAGGCAATTGTTGCCTGCCTTTTCTCTGTTCTTTTTTCTTTCTCTGCTGAGTCCACACAGCTACAGCTCTGAGCTGAGGGTGGCAAAGGGAGAGTGTTTCTCCCCGTTAGGTCACATGTGACCTTTACTTCTGACGCAGTGGCAGCGTGTTCTTTAGGGGATACGTGTGGGCTTTGGACTAAAGGATGCCCAGGCTGGTACAAGCCAGGAAGTTGTTTTACTACATTGCAAAAGCAATCTTGTTATGACTGCAGGAAACTTGCAAAAGGGTATGAAAGCAAAGGAGAAGTTACTAGTTAATCCTCTAATTCCAGTGTAGGTCTGTCAGTAGCTAGTTTACAGGACCCAGTAGCTGTTTACAGGACCCATAAAGGGACTTCAGCTGAGTTGCTCTGATAAGGAGTTCTAGTTTTCTAGCCTTTTGAAGAACTTGGTTCCAGTAATCCTCCCTTTCTTCTCCCTTTCCTTCCCTCCCTGAAGGTCATCACATTCCGGTTTCGTAGATGAAAGGATGTTAGCAGAATCGTTGCACAACTCCTATAGGAGAACAATTGGTAGGCTGGTGCCTGAGCCGTCCTTCTTTGCGTGATCTTAAAAATGAAGCTGCATACTGCCACGAAAACCAGCTGCTGTCGGATTGCTGCAGTCCTGCAGTCTCTAGGACTCCAGTGGAGCAGATGTGGATGGAGCTGAGCTTCCAGATGTGTTTGGGCTGGGAAGGGATTCTGAGGTCCTGTCTGAATGCTGAAGCACTGTTTGGGTACAAGTGGGATTAGTGGTATCTAGTCACTGTGATCTCCAGGCACTGCTTGGTTTGTCTTTGTGGTCCCAGAAAACATGGTGAAACTGTAGTAGCAGTTAACAGCCTGCTACACTAGTGTGTACTGGTGGGGCTGAACCAGCAAACATTAACAGAGCTGAACACTGGGTGTTTGCTTGTTGCATAATATTGCAAACCCTATTCAATTAGCATGTGGCATCACTCTTCAAGTGCAGGATTTTATAGTGGAATAGGAGACGAAATATGTTGAGGTACAAAGGCGAGTAGTTGCACAGGATGCAGGGCAAAAGGAAAGCAGAGGACAAGGAACCCACGCCCAGTTCTTGTTTGATTGCTGGTGCTTTGCTTCACCACAACTACGGTTCTTTCAGAAGATGGTAATGACATGTGGTGGGTAGTGAGAAGACACCACTGAATGTGTTTTCAAGTTCTTGGTAATATTGTTGTAGCCTTGGTGACAAGTTTTTAGAGAGGTAATAATTTTGTTAAATTGACTGATGGTTCTGGAGTGAAGTAAAAGCTACCTGAAGAAGGCAAGTGTCTTCCAAATCTGTCAGTTGCTGTAGTAGGTGATTATGTCTCTGTAGAGAACTGAAAGACTCACATGTGAAACTTGTTTACTTCTCAAAGCAAAGACTGTGAAGTGGTTGCCAACTACAAATTAAGGTTGCTGTTTAATCTTCAGTCTGTAAGGCTCCCAACAACTTGGAAAAAGGGATGAATGTGTAGAGGGGAAGCTATAAAGGTGCTGAAGTTCCTTCTGCCTGAAGCACTGTAAACTCCATGCTTTGTGGGAGTGTGGCGAGAATGTATGTGTGGGAGAAGCTGTATTCCTGGTGATGGGAGAGGGACTGATCACAGCAGTTGTACCCAGCTTTCTACGTTACCTTATTACTCCCATAGTGGTGAAATCTCATGTGTGTTTTGATGGGATTGTACCTCAGGGACTTGAAACATTGTCAGAAGTTGTGTGTTTTTGTATAGGAGACATGTGGATGCAGCTTTCTCAGAAGGTACCATAGTAGCTTTTTTTCTGCATGTAGATTGCTCTGGACACTTGTGTTTTTATGGACTGTTTCAATGTTAGAAATGTAAGTAGTGTCTTTTGGCGCACTATCTGTAGTATCTTGCAGTAGGCCTGTTTCTTTTTATTTTGTTGGGATTTTTTTTTTTTTTTAATTTCACTTTGCAGTCTGGGATATTTAAAATAACCAAATAATTGGTCTGAAAACATACGAGAAAGCTGGGCCTCCTAGAGGGTCTGATCTGATGTGAGCCAATTAAAAAGTTAAGTTTCATAAGCACAGGGTGCCTATGTGTTTTACTGAAATCTTACTGCTTTTTGGGAAAAGGGAATTAAGCTTCTGCAGAAACTCTGGGGGAGAAAAGATTAAGAAATAATGCTGTTGATGGAGGAGGAGAGCTCTCTTAAATGACAGTGAATGCTGTTGAAAGTACCAGCTGCTACCCTATCTGATGATAGGCCAGATTTTGCAAACTTAACAGGTTTCATCCTTTTTTCTCATGCTTTGCCTTTGATGGGATTTTGCCTTTGATTGCGTGGTTGTGGGTGGAATGTCTGATACTCTTGGCTACAAAAACTATAGAGGTTCTTAAAATTACATTTGTTCTGGCCTGGAGCAGAGCTATGTGGGTGTTGGATGTTTCTTTGAGACCTGGCATTCCTTTTGGTTTATCACCTTGTGTTATCTACGACTTTAAAGGAAGATGATTAACGTCTAGTGCCCAACTTCTCTGTGGCATAGATCCACACTGCTGTAGATTTAATGCTTCAGTGTATGAGTCACCCATCTCGTGAAGGCAGTGTTTGGTTAATCAATTATCCAGAAGTATACTCTGTGGACCAGACACAAGTGATTATAAATGTTACTTATTATAGTCTCATCAATGGCATAGTGCTTAATCTCTTAAGCACATTAGAGTATTAGTTGATCAGAAGTAGGTTATCATCTGCTTAGATGAGATGATGTGGATCTTTTTCTGGGCAATACAGAAATGTAGTACACTGTGCTAGGCTAGAATTTAATTAACTGATAAATAGGTTGTCCTGTGTGTATCTAAATAGTTGGAATATTTAAATTATACTAGCTGTCTAATGTCCTCTGTACTAATTTTAACAAATGTCAAAGGAAATCCATACGTAATTGGCTGAATACATGATAAATTGGCTGTTGCTGCTGATGGAACTGAGCTGGATTATCAGAAGTAATCGGTTTAATTTAAACCCAGCTCATTTTAACTGAAAAATATTAGGGAACAGCCACGTGATCAGTTCAGCAAGCAGATCTAAGGAGGAGAGTAGAAATTTCCATCAATACAGACAAGTAGGATAAAACACGGCTAACTGCCCCATCTGATTCAATAGGTTTTCATTAATTATTCGAAGTGTAAGCAAACTCTTCTTCAGGATGCAGTTACCAGTGAATTTTGGGCAAATTTTTAATCTCTTTAAAAGCAGGTTACTGTCTTGTTTTGCCAGGTACCTCTTGATTAAAAACAAAACTAGGGAGTTCTTGGACTTGATGGTTGTGCATTTGTTAGTTCATTCAGCTACAGCCTTATCAGAAAATGAGTGATTAATCTTGATTATATGAGGGAGAAGAAACTGCGAATTCTAGTTTGCCTGTAATTTTAACACTTCCATAAGCACAAGCAGTGCATTCATAGTTTGTACTTTAGCTAGAGATCTTGTGCTGTAGTTAGACGTGTGACTTACGACTGTTGTGTTCACGGTCTTATCTTAATTTCTTTTCTAGGCAAAGCGCGTGTGCAGCAGCTAGCAGAGAACACAAGATATTTCAGGAGACGGCTGAAAGAGATGGGCTTTATCATCTATGGAAATGAAGATTCCCCTGTTGTGCCTCTGATGCTGTACATGCCAGCAAAAATCGGGTAGGTTTAACAGGGTAACTCCTATCCATCCTCTTTAAAGCTAGAATAGTACAATAATATTAAGACTTTTCTAAATATAAGAAAACACTGTTTTGATTTTTGATTTTATAATCATTACTGAGTCTTGTAAAACATGGAAGAATTCTATAAACGATCTTGAGAAAATCAGGGCTTTTGAAGCTTGGGGCAGCAAGAAAGCCCTTCAGGGAAGCAATTTTACCACTACATTCCGTGTTTTAAAAGTTGGGGGCTTTTTTCATTTCATTTATATGCAAGTGTATATATGTGCTAAAGAGAAGCTGAAATTGAGTGGAAATTAATGTTAAAAGTCACCGGAGGAATCTTTCAAACACCTCCTGAATCAGAAACAGGCAACATTTCCACAGATGAACTCTTGAAAATTAAAAAAAGAAAAATCGGGGGGCTCGACATGGTGGGACACAACAACCTGTATTTGATAAATCCTCAATTTTTTTAAGAGGTCTGGATTTAATAGCTCAAGTACTGTTATTGTAAATGCTAATGGAACTGTAACACATAGCTTTATAAATGCTTATAGAGTTGTGGGCTGCTGTGTGGATAATTAAGGCTAAAATTCTGAAGCAGTTTATAATGTATATATTAAAAAATTTCTCAATATAAACAAAAGCCTGGTTTCAAGGACATCTTGGCTTTGATAGTTGCTTTTCAGCGTCAGTGTATAATGCAGTGCTCAACTAACACTTTCAAATTTGGAAAGGATAGCTTCATTTTAAGCTGTACTGAGTGCTCTTCTAGCTCAGTTCAGCTTCAGTCTGGCTAAGCACTGTGGTACTGTGAGGGAACAAACATCTTCTAGCATTCTGCATGAAGCTAGATACAGTCTTCCTCCACTCTTCTCAGTATAGCCAAATTTAAAAGGCCTCTAACCTTTATGGGTGCTGTAGTGTCTGCAGCGTGCGCCGTCCAGCACACAGAGGCATACTGTTTCCACTGCCCAGCTCCTCTACCAGTCAGTACAATCTTTTTCACTGGAAATGTTCGTGGAAATGCATATTAGCTGAGCAGTTGGGCCAGTAACTTACTTAAAAATGAGGAAGAACACAGAGCTTTGATGAGAGTTGCCCTTAGGATCTACATCGGGTCTACTTTATCCTTTCTTTGTCTCTTGTAGTCTGTTTTTAAAATAGTTTGAGAGTACTAAATGGATACAAAATGAAGTGTATCGGGATGCACCTATTTATAAGGAAAATAGTTGTAGCAGAAGTAAAAGGCAGAAAATTAAAAAAAAATAGTAAAAGGATGTTATTTTTATACATCCATATAAGCCTTTTAAGTTCATTGCTATTTCTCAAGACAAGGTCAGTTCAAAAACGATTAACCGTTTCCTGTGGCCTGTAGAAACACCCACAATTGCAGTGCCCTTACGGAAAGGACCTTCATGCCTCTCATTGCATAAGTCACAGCTGCTAATTTCTTTAATCCCCACAAGAGTTTGTTTTGTTGAAGATACTTCGTGACAGTTATATGTGGTTTTTGCACCTTAAAAAATATTTGGTATCAGATTAGATGATGTTAATTTATTGTGGCAACTCAATGGTTCCCATGATAGGCACTTAAAAAGTGGTACATTCTGTGATAGCACAGTGTACTTTAATTGAATTAAATTGGTGAAAATAGGCCATCTTGCAACTGCAGAAGTATCTGCTTTGGGGGATTGTAGCATGGGGGATTCCTTGCATAGTCTAACTTCAGAGCAAAAATCCCTGTTTCCTGTAGGAAAGATTTCCAAGCTTAGATTACAAATCCATTTAGAAATAGCCTGCTTAAAAGACCAGCCTCTGCCATGTATAATCTTTCAGCTTTGTTAGAACTTAATACTGTGAAACCTTTTGAGAAGGACCACCTCGGGACTGAATTAAGAAAAGGTTTTTGTGAGCAGGCGTTCTGTCTCTAAAAGCAAGCACTAGAAGCCTCAAATTAAGGTCTTACCAGCTTGCTTCAGCAAAGGCCTGTAAGGGTTAACATACTGAGACCTTCAGGCTGCTGCTTTGCCTCCACTGGTATCAGTCTGACGATCTTTCTGGTTCGATCTGGCAGTGCTTTTGGGCGTGAGATGCTGAAGCGGAACATTGGTGTTGTGGTTGTGGGCTTTCCTGCCACCCCCATCATCGAATCCAGAGCCAGATTCTGTTTGTCTGCAGCTCACACCAAAGAGATGCTTGATACGGTAAATGTCTTGTCTTCCTTTTGCTCATGCCTTCTATAAACAGATACAACAATTGTCTATTTTATGTAGAATGATTCAATGTTTGGTACACAAACTAGTTGAACCTAATGCTCAAAACCGTGTGTAGTAGAGCTGGCAATGATTCCATCTCTTTCCTTGCTCCAACAATACAGAATGGCTGCCTACAGTAAATCACAGGGACTTTCTTTTCCTATTTTAAATTACGTGAGACAGTCAGTCTCATTCCTTTGAAGGAATGCCTTTTCCCCTCTTAAGAGGCTCTTTTAGAAGGAAAAAATTCGGCTTCTTCTGACCCTAGATGCAGATGGTAAGAAAAAAAGCCTGAGAACGTCCAAAACATCTATATTCTTCTCAAAAGCAAGCGCAAACCTCAGCACACAATTACCAGTGAGATGTTTTTATTCCGAAGATTACTATTCCAGTTCTTGTTTACAGCTTCAGAGTGCTGTATCTTAAATGATCCTGACCTGAATGAGTCTGTGCCATGTGCAATGCCTGACTGACTCCTGTCTGCACTAAGCATGTGCCAGCGGGAATGCAGATCCCCTCTAAGGAGGCCTGCATCACAGTTGGGAGATGCTGCTTTAAAAATTTAGGATGGAAGTTACTTTCTGACTCATACAGTTGAAAGGGTATTATATCAATAAGCAGGACTATCCTTATTATGTTTTAGTGTGGTAACTACATTCCTTTTTGAGTCTTCTGAATAATCTTCTTTGCTGGACACGTACATGGGCTGTCTTAGGCTCTGTCAAAGTTCTCCATTGTAATTTTTTCCCTGCTTTTCTGTTCTGTGACTCAGAACTTAAGCTAGGTTGAGTCACAACTGGACTTCAGGAGAGTAGACTCTGTCCAGTTCGGAGACCTGCTTGAAAGAATCCCATAGGATACAGACCCAAAGAGAGCAGGTGTCCACGACAGCTCGTTGATTTTGGGCTTGGTTTCTTTTTTTTTTTTCTCTCTCCTGAAGAGTGATCCAGCGTGACTTATAAGAAGGCAAATGTAGAGGGAAGCCTGCACGGATGAAGAAACCAATAAAAACATAAAATGAAAGCATATAAGAGGTGCAAGCAGGGGCACGTGACCCAGGAGGAACAGAGACACAGTCCTCAGCATGCAGGGATGAGGTCAGGAAAGCCAAAGCCCACCTGGAGCTGAGTCTGTTAAAGGGCATGAAATGTGGCAGGCAGGGCTTTTATGGGGATATTAGTAGCAAAAGGAAGAGTAGAGAAAACGTGGGGCTGCTGCTGAATGGCATTAGGGATCAGGTGACAAATCACGTGCAAGAGGCCAGGGTGCTCAGTGCCTTTGTTGCCTCAGTCTTCACTGATGAGACTTGCTTCAAGAATCCTGGGCGCATGAAGTCAGTGGAAAAATATGGAGCAATGAAGACTTACCCTTGGTGTGAAGGAGGAATCAAATAAGGGAAGACTTAAGCTGAATGACACAAGTCCAAGGGACCTGATGGGATGCACCCACAAGTGTTGAGAGAGCTGGCAGTCACTGCAAGGCCACTCTTGATTATCATCTTTGGAAGGTCATGGTGACTGGAAGAAATAAAGTGTCACCACTGACTTCAACAAGGGCAAAAACGTGATCTGAGGAACTGCCAGTTGAGAAGCCTCACCTTGATCCTTGGGAAGATGATGGAGAAAAAAATCTTTGAAACTGTTTTCAAACATTTTGTGGACAAGAACATGTTTGGGAGTAGTCACCATGGAGTTATGAAGGGAAAATCATGCCCCGTGTCCAGATGTGATCAGGTGGTAACACATGAATAGCAAATGGGACATATAAACAGATATTTACTAAAGCCTTGTTTAAAAAAAAACATATTCAAACTTCACACTTCACTGCTACAGAACTTTCAAATCAATAGCTGAAAATTGCTCTTTATTTCAGTTTTGTTAAGAAAAATAGTAAGGCAGTGGTGTGTGCAGGTTGGTAATGTGTATTTAGTGTCATTCTGTATCAGTTAAACCACCTTCCACGTATCTGTGGTGAAGTCCTTGCTGCTTCTGAGCTGTTTCTGCCTTGTAAGACCTGAGAGATGCTGCCCTGACACTCCCAACAGCAGACTGCTGAAGGAGTTTCTTCCCGTAATTATCCCAATTCAGTTGTTTCTGTTCCAGATAAAAATTGTGAAGCAGTGTGTTTGGAGAAGGCCCTCTCCTTCCCTTGCTTTGCCCCCATAGACAATGAATAGTGTCACAGACTTGGCTCAGAGTAATAGGACTGAGTACATTGGTGCAAATGAGGGGACAGTAACTTCTGGCCATGTGGACCTGGGGAGATGAATGGCAAGGAAGTGGGAGGAAGGAAAAGAAAGAAAACTGAACTCTCTGAAACCATATTGCTGCAAACTGAGCTGCGACTGAAACCGTGCAAGCTTGATGTGCTGGCACTACCTGAGCAATCATGCAGTCTTGCTGTTGGTTAGATTCTTCCTCTACTCTCTTAGTGACTAGCTGGAACCTTTACCGTAACAAGCTGCTTTTGCAGGGTCTGTATAAGTACTAAGTACTTGCTCTCTTCCAAAACCAATCTGTAACTTTTATTACTCTGCTTAAAAAAGCTCTTTTCCTCTCAATTCACTTACAAGTCTTTCTGCTTTCCAGAAAATGTTTGAAGTTTTGTGCATTTAACTCTAAAGACTCATTTCTAGAGTACCTCTGTAGGTGCTAAACGCCCTGAATTGAGGAAATGCTTGTTTAGTACATTAGGGCTTGTCTGCCTAAGAAAATTAATCCAGGACAAAATGAGGTGTGAATTTTGAGGTGAATGAAGAAATCATGATTTAGCTCAGTATGTGCAGGCTTTGTTCCAAGTTAGTGTAATCCACTACAGTTAGTGTAATCCATGCAGCTGTTTGCTGCAGGCTCTGAACCCGGAACATTGGCAAGAGGAGTTCAGAAGGAGCAAGTCTTTGTGTCGGTGACTTTGTGTTGTGTTTTCTTGTGATGCAGTGAAAGGGGATTGATTTCAGGCAGCTAATCATTAAGGCAGCCTTCAGATCTGATTCCTCTGCTGAACTGTGGCAACAATGTCCAGGAGGAAAAAGAACTGAAATGAATAGACTCAGAGAGAGCTGGCAGAGAGCTTCTTCAAGTCAGTTAGAGAGAGGACAACTTGGTAGCCCATCCTTGTGTGCATGGATGCTAACTAGGGCTGTTACGGCATTTTTTCTAAACAAAATTTATCCAGGTTTGGAGCACAGGAAAGAGAAGCTTGTCTTGTAAATGCTGATATTTGTAATGCTTCCTTGTTCTTATTAAATAAACCCACATGATGGGGAACAGTTCTCAGTTACAATTTTAACCGTTTTATGTAAATAAAACTTCCTTGCCTGAAAATATTTGGCTCAGGATCAGAGTGAAGTCCCTCATAACCTGCATCCCTGTGGGCTGGTGCTTTCTTTTCAGTGGTGAAAAATATATTACACTCTCCTGAAGTCAGAGTTCACCAATGCCATTTCCTTTGTAGACTTTGCTGGTCACATGGTCCTTTTTGTTTTAAATTAATAAAATCCTAAATCTGCATTTAAGAATAACAGTTAGCAGACTCTTTCAACAGAAATTCAACCTTAAATTGCTTCCATATGGGATCTTTACTTAAAGCTCTGGCAAACTGTGCCCACGCTTTTGTTTTGTTTTGTTTTTACCGAGGTTCAACTTCTGGGTTTGTCATTCCCCCAGATTTCAGAGTGGAGAGGTTCTTGCTGCCAGATACAACAAGCATGAGGGGCCATTGTTTAAAGAAACAAAACCTTGAACTATCCATCCAGGAAGGAAAAGCATGTTGGGATATTAACCTCCATCTGCCAACTAGTCTCAAGACACAGGCATTTGACCCAGAATGTGTTAAAATCGGAGCATTAATGTTGAATTAGTGGCATTCTGAAGGAGTGCTTGAATGTACCTATCTGAATAAATTTACAATTCAAGGGGGAGCAGAATGCCAACCTTTGAGTTCAGAAAATCACATGGGACTTGGAAGTCATCGTCTGAACTCATTTCTTTGTCCCTTGCCTATATGAGATAATTAGCATCACGTACTGTTGCAGATTTGTCTGCAGCAACTGATTTATTTTGTACCTTGCTCCAGGAGTGTTCTGTAGAGAAATCAAGTTTAGGGTTTGGCTTTTTAACAAACCTTATTGTGAAAGATTTTATTGCTGCAGAAAGAAAGTATGATTACCTGGGCCGGGACTTTCCTCATTTCCTACGCTAGCAGATGTTAGATCTCTGGTAAACTTCATAACATTTGCATTCAGGTCAAAATGGTGAAAGGTTTTCTTAGCTCACTAGCAGTGTGGCAACCTCAGTCAGTGGGACTTGCTTTCTAGGGAGAAAATCGTTGGGATCCTACTCAGAAAAACTTTTTTTAATTCCTTGAATTGGCTGGCAAAAATCTCTCATGCAACATTGTTTACGATACAGAGCTTGCATCTCTAGTTGTATGCAGACAATGTAAATTAACCAAATGTAGATGTAACAAATGCATCAATAGATCTTGTTAGGACACTATTGCAGTTTGCTGTTCACTATCTTGCAATTTAAAAAATACAGTAGGTCAGAGATGGTATACTAACACGCGTGTTGTTTTCATACTGAATGATACATAAATAGGAGTCAAGCCTCCACATGCATTTTTCTCTGCTTCAGCTTTATTACTTCCAGGAAGCGAGTAATATTGTTCTTGGTTTTTCTGTCTGTGAATAGTCATGGCTTTTTTGGGGATGACTGGGAAATTTGAGTTACTAGTGCCGGATATTATGATCCTGCTTTGGAAGTGGAGTAGTCAGGTGGGTGCAGAGTCACCCTCTGTTAAGTGACTGGTGCAGCTCACTTGGTCTCGAGACGTCTGAATACTAAAATCAAATCCAAATCCTGTGCACCTCTGAAGCTACAGACTCCTAGCACAGTAAAATCTCACTTAAGTAAAATGGCTGTCAGAGTAGTCTGCAGGCGTGCAAAAAGGAAGGTGTGCTGATAACTTGCTCGCATCTGTCTCCTCTGCTGATCTACTGTGGTCTCTTTCTCAGGCTTTAAGAGAAATCAATGAAGTTGGGGACCTTTTGCAAGTGAAATATTCCCGTCACCGTTTGGTACCTCTCTTGGACCGGCCATTTGACGAGACAACATACGAAGAAACAGAAGACTGAACTCCCTCCATGTGCCTTGGTGGGAGGAACGCACCCCGTGGGACACTCCGTGGCACGCAGGCCACAGCGTCCATGAACAACACTTAGGACTGCTTAGCGTAAAAGACATTTCCTCACAATACTGAAGTGGCCACATCAGCTCTAAATGGCATTTTGTAAATAGGGAGAGGAGAACAAAAAGCTTTGATTCCTGTGTCTTTGGGGTCTGGCCCTAGAGGTGCTTGGCTTAATTTTTTTTGTTGCTTTTTTTATTTATTTGTCTCAGCGAGTTCACAGCAACCCAAATTGGCTGTGGCTCAGACTGTGTATGCACCATTAGCCTCCCAAATGCTGGCTGAGATGATGTGAGCATATGTGACGCTGGCATGGCAGCATTTCCAGTGTCACTGCTAGGTGTCTGAGCTTCCCAGTAAGGAGTGAGCTGACCTGTCTGTTCCTGGAGACTTCCTAGAGAAACTGTTGATTGTTAACTTTGACATATTTAACAAGATGGATAATCAACCAAAGGTTTGTTGGTTTTTTTTGGTTTTTTTTTTTTTTTTTTGCTTTTTCTTACGTTTAAAACCTGAGTTTAGCCTTTTTAAAATAAATGTGTTGTTGATACGTCACTGACAGGACCATTGTTCCCAAACATTATTTAGTTTTGTAAGCCACAGGCAGAAGGACTTCTGGGACCCTAGCCTCTTTTCCTTCCCAGTATGGATACCAGATTGTCTCCTGGTTTTGACACTAATTGTCCTCTTGAAGTGATGGAGGGGCCTTTTGTTAATTTTATTTTAAATGGACTGTGTTTTGTCTTCCTTCTGACATAATTCTATTTAAAAAAAAAGAAAGAAAAAGGTGGGCTTAGTGTGTGTTGCTTTCTCATCTTCAGGTTAATTTCTCTTGCTTTAGAATTCTTATGAAACCATGAACAAGTCACTCCTAAGTTCTAGAAGGATGCTTTTGGGATTAAGTAAACCATAGCAAGCCTTGTGCTTCTTGTTAAGACCAGAACCTCTCAATAAGCAGGCCTATGCAATGGATGACTATTAGGAGAACTACTTATTTCATGCAGATCTGTGAAAGAGGGATTGCTACCCTTCACCATGCTAATTCACTGTTTCTTGTCATATATGAGGTGTTCTTCACTGGCCATGTTGCACAAGGCTTTTGTGCAAAGAGTGTAGACAGCTTGGATCTTGTATCACACGTTACATTTTGGCTGGCCAGCAAAGTCTCACTTGGCAGCTGCATGCCTGTGTGGGCCTCCCCTGAAGAGAGAATGTCCTCAACTGCATTTAGTTCGAGCTCTTTATTCTTCTGCACTTCTGTTACTGTGAGATCAAATTAATGTTCACTGAGCCAGCTGCTGTTTGCAATCTTTATTTGCAAGTTCCACACTGTCTTACTCTGATCAAAGTTTAAAATAGATACCTGTGCTCTAGCACACCTTAGAGGTGGCCTGCTATTCAGTCATTGCATCTTGAATTCTTTCAGTGAACAGAATGGATCACTGAAGAGGTACCAAAAATTTTATAATGGGAGTCAGTTGCAGTATAGTTTGCTTCTGTCTTTTATACCTTGGGCACCTAGGGTTTCTGCAAAGATAGTAAACCTTTAACATCATGTCAGTTGGGTTGGGCCAGCTCTTCTGTTTGGGTTAGCATGATGTTTTTTGCAGGTGACTGGACATTTTTTGAAGAGATTCTTCATTGTAATGCTAAAGCAGAGTGCAGCTCAAAGCTATTTGCCTGGTGCTGCAAAAAAATCAATAATTTTTTTAAGTTCTTTTATGTTCACTCTGCAGCTAACAGGGAAGGAGTGCTTTGATCACTAGAACCAAGCAGTTCTGGAAATACATCTGGTGATTTAAAGCAGAATTGTCTTCTATAGAATATCTATCTTCATGCCTTTCTAGATCTTGTTCCATTTTAATGTAACAGAACTTCAAAACACCGATTCAGGTTTTTACCATTGCATTTCAGAAATTTGATTAGATGAGAAGAACTAAAATTGGCTGTTTTAAAATAGGTCCAGATACCTGTTTCTGTCTTAGTCCACTAATGTTGATTTGCTCGCCTTCTGGAGCAAAGTTCAAGAAGACTGTAACCTGTATGTGCAACTTGGATAGCGATGGAGTAGTCTCATTTTTTCAGCCACAGAGTGAGTAAACTGCAGTTACATGAAGTTACTTTCTTACCTGCGTTCTGCCTAGGACTAGCTCTAACATTCCAGTAGATGACCTGCTTTCTGACTTCAAGAAGCTTTACCTCAAAGAATTACTGCTTCTTTTTTTTTTTCTCTCTGGATTGTAGTAGGGAACAAGAGGAGGTTAGTGCAGGAAGCCCTGACTCCAGCCCTGGTCCTGTTGACTTGATCATGGAACGGTTTAAGATCAGACAAAACAGACCAACTTGAAGGCATAAGCATGGGTCAGTAGGGAGCTGTTTTGAGCATTCCCAGATGTAGAGCGTGCTTGTGTCTGCTGTGTAGTGAAGTCAGTTTGAAAACTGTGATGTGTTAAGTTAGAAGTGGGTTATCATAGATTCCACAGGTCTTGAGTCTTAATCTAGTCCCTGGGATTCAGTTTTAGGGAAGCTTGTCTTTAGAAGGGAGAAAAACATTTGGATAAATCTCAGTAATTTAGATAACTCCTGTATAACACTTCTGAAATGGTCAGTGTTTTTAAATTACTGGTCCCCACTGGGATTCCAGTTGCGCTTGTTGAGGAAATTGTCCTCATGCTGAACTTCTGCCATTTAATATCTTTCTGCTGTGTCACACTGTCTGCGTATGACTTTGAATTCTGGGTTGCCAAGACATTTCAGAAATCATTCCAGCAGTTAGTAGCATTTGCAAACTAACTGCTTAGTTACATTTCAGCCCTGCCGTATCGTTTTTGGGAAGCAACTTCCCCCACGCCCCTCAGAGGCCTTTTATTCAAGGGAACTTGTTTTGCCAAAGTCTGGTACCTGTTGAAACTGCTTCTGAAAAAGGAAGAAGTTACAACTCCAAGATTTCGCACTTTTAAGTCAGTAATTCACTCAGCATGAAAGCCAGGAAAATCTTTTCACATCTACTAAAAAACTCCGCTCCCAGAACCGGAGACCACTACTGGTTTGTACTGGGCAAACCTACAGCATGTATGCTGTCACAGTATGTGTAGGATGGATTGCTGCTTTGAGTTTTATGTACTGACCAGAAATCGTCTCCTTTTTGTCCTGGCAGTGGAAGTGAATGAAAGAACCGATCTTGAGAGATCACAAAGGAAGAAAAGCTGCTTAAGAAATAGACTTCAGTCCCTGCCAGCTTTTCTGAGACATTCTAATTGAAAATGACTCCTGGTATTTCTGAAGAGATGCAAAATTCAAAAGAAAATGAAGGCTGCTTTTGAACAAAGGATTTTGCCCTGTACATTGGCTAAACTTAGTCATAAATGTACAATAGTTACCTTCCCAGTACCTCTCTGAAGAACTTAGCAAGCAAGATTTTGCCTCTGCTGAGCGGAGTGAAGAGTTTAGAACTGTTAAGAGTTTTCAAGGCCGATGGCCACATTCTCTTAAGAAAACTGAGAAGCTCCTGTTACCGAGCATCAGCAAAGAGTGAGAGATCTGCTTCTTATTAGAAACTGGCCTTCCCAAGTAGACCTTTGTCTTAAGGAGCCTGATTCATAATTTTTTTTTTTTTAGTTCTTTGGCAGAGAAGAAACCCAGGGTTTTTGTGTCCAGATATTCAGGGCTTTTTTTTTTTAACTCAAGACAATTTTTTGTATAGTATCTGTGTACATGATATATTTAACTTTTTGTTTAGTTTCTTTTTTTTCCCTTCTAAGTAGCATCCTTAAAGAGCTGTTCTGGTTCTTGGGTTACTGGTGTAGCACGCTTCTGCTTTCGGCAAAGACTCAGGAGGGAATTTACCGAACATCTTCCCACGATGAAGTCGTTCAGTGAAGGAATCGCATCATCCGTCCTCCTCTTGCTGTTTCCTCTAAGAGTGCAGAGAGGTACCCACTGTCGGAGCTGGCACCTTCACACACGGCAGGCGAGGGAAGTGTGCCTGTGAAATCAGTGACCCAGCCCGGTGAGGGAACGATAGATACAGCAGAGATGGAGAAAAGGGGCAGTCAATCATCGCGCATTCTCAGCTGTACAGGGATCCTTCATGTGTACTTGAACAAGCCTCCCTGAGACAGGACACTCCTTTAAAACTTTTCCACACCAGGTAAATACTTCCTCTCTTTCTGTAAAAATTTTAATTTCTTTACTTCTGAAAAGTATTTGGCTTACAGCTGTCTGTAAGCTATGTTACCAGTTCGGGCAGATCACAGGAAAGGTCGGAGGGAAGCCACGAGCGTGAGCTCTCCATTTCATCTAAGAGAACTCCTTGCAGCGCTGTATCTTGAGCGCTATGCATGAGCTCCCTTGCTGCATCATGGAGTAGGTAACTTGTGGAGATTTATCCCAATGCTCAGTGAAAATGTATACAGCTTGTATATATTACTCTTACAGCTTATACTCAGCCCGGGAAGTGTCAGGCATGCTGGGATCTGTGCGGGTGGCACCTTCTGCACAGAGATCTGAGGTACCTGCGGTCTGTTTGGGTTTAACACTAGTGAGGCACTGAGCTGTCTGGGAACGCCTAGGGTGACCCCTCGGCAGGGGCATCGCTGGCGTCGGCCCTGGGCCCAGCACTGGCATTGGACCACTGCTTGGCAAAAGCACCAGTCATTTGACCTGTGCCACTTGAATGTGGTTTTAAAAGAAAGAAAAGAAAAATAAAAACCTGCAACTCTGATGCCGTTGTGATGGCTTGCATTCCCGTAAACATCCCCAGCCCTGCAGTGCTTTACCTGTTCAAGGATCTGGAGGTGCAGCTAGAGCACAACGGTGAAGTGTTTGTGTGAAGTATTGTGCTTTATCTTTCATTAAAGACAGAAGCGTTTGGTGTGGACATTGGAGCTGTTGTGTTACATGCCTGAAAGGGGCTGGGTGAAGATGATGACTGTGGTGTGTGTTGAAGGCCTTAAACTGTGACTTTTGGTATGAAAAATTGAAATTAAAACTGACCTTGAAGAATGCAGTGGAGTTTAAGCCATGGAAGTATAGTCTGTGCTCTTAGTTAAGCAATATGTACGGCTGTTTTCTTGGGAGGGAGAGGTTCAACTCCAATAATTTGCGTTTGACCCTGGGTAGCAGCTATGAAGGAGCAGAAGAGGTGTCTGTACGTGAAGGCCAAAAACAGTGCAGTTCTCCACACCGGTGTTCCTGTGTAGCAAGCATCAGCAACTTGTTCCTGGGCTGCTGAAAGCGGGAGAATTATTGAGAGGGTCAGGGACTTCAGAAGCAGTGGCAGCGAGCAAATTAATTTCCTCAGCAGTAGGTGAACAGGTCTCACTTGAATACACCATGGGTTGGTGCCGTTCCAAAAATACCCATGGCGAAGTGAAATGTGCACCAAACCGTCTGACTGCTGTAAAGCATTTGGGGTTTTTTGCCAGATCTCCTCCTGTTCAGGCAGTATTTCTGCTACCCCCTAATGGTATATTAAACCAAATGCATCTCCCGCCTTCCAGTGTTATTAACTTCAGACCAGTCGGAGAGATCAGAGGAACGTTGGAGCCTGAGGCTTTAGGCTGGCAGTCCCAAAGCCAATGGTGGCCCACACTTCCACAAGCCCGGGGCAGAATTACCAAATCACTGCACTTCGTCTTAAATTGCACTGTATTCTTATGCCTCTGTGTTGCTATAATGTA